GGGCCTTTCGGGACTGTCATTTCTTCACCAGGTGTTCTCAACCCCGTTAATACACTTGATCTCCTGATCCACCTATCCAGTTGAAACAAAAGCGATTTGGGAAGTGGCAAGGCGTCCGAGTAAGCGCAGAGCCGGGCTCCAACGCGATGCAGCAGGGGCCATTTACTTTCTCACTGAGGAAAGGAAAAACCGTGGGCTGGAAACGCCAGGAAACCATCGCTGAGAGATAGACCACCTGAGGGTCCAACGTAAAGCAGATTCATTCTACCTGCCTGTATACCGTATGAGGTGACTGGGAAAAGACACCCTTCATCAAGGAAACGAAACTCAAGATATCATCAACAAGAGCTGGTCCGCCTAGGACTCTTTCCCGTAGTTTTTGTTTTCACTCCTTCATCATAATAGACGCAAACTCATCATCTGTTGATTGACGGTCAGCTCGCTCGCTTGCCAAACAACACGGGATCATGCCAAGAGGGCAGACACAACATAAGGGGCAGGATCGGTAGTGTGCTCCTTACAGTCAATCGTTCCATCGCCGTTCTTGTCGGCCATCTGGATCATCTCGTCAATCTCGGCCTTGGTCATGTTCTCGCCCAGCGAGGTCAGGACGTGTCGTAGCTCCTCGGCCGAGATGGTGCCGCTGCCGTCGCGGTCGAATACCTTGAACGCGTTCTTGAGCTCCTCCTCGGCGTCACCGACCTGCACCTTTACCGCCATCAAGTTGAGGAATTCTACACATGTCGAGTTAGTGCTCCGGGACGCTTCATATGCTATGCAACCCGAACAACTTACCATTGAAGTCGATCGTGCCGTTGTTGTCCGCGTCGACCTCATTCACCATGTCCGTCAACTCCGTGTCGCTGGGATTCAGGCCCAGGGACCTCATGACCTCTCCCAGCTCCTGGGCGGTGATGTCACCTGCAGAAACAATGTCAGTTTGGGGTTGGGATGAGAAAGCAAAAAGGGAACTGCAGCAAATCCGAGATGAGATGGAACGGTCTAAGCCACGCCGTTCCCGAGCGGATTTAAGAAAAAAAAAAGGGTTCGATCGAGTTTAAAAAATAATTCCCGACTGTCGTCCAGAAAAAGGGGGCGCAACAACCTCGCGCAGCTCGAAAAAGGGTGTTATCACTGACCGGTCCCATCCTTGTCCTGCGGTCGAGTTAGCAAAATGAGGAGCTCCGGTGTCGTCGAAGGTTGACGTAGGCCAGCCCAAAAAAATCAGGCTCGGCATGGCGCCAGCCTGATGGAAAGGGGAAGCGGGAGGGAGAAACTCACAAACAGGTCAAAGACCTCCTTGTATTGCGCCCTTTGCTCTTCAGTCAACCCAGCAGCAGCCTGGACATCGTGGTCAGCTTCATAAATGCGAGCATCTCGGGCGACCGGAGCATAAGTTTCTCACCATTTTTTTATGTCGGATATGTGGTGGTGACGAGTTGTTTATGAAGGAAGTTTTGGTGAGTGAGCGTCGGTGGTTTGAGACAGGGAAGACGGCGTGGGCGTGGGCACCGACAGCTGAAAGCGGGGATGTGACGATGACCCCGCACGGTGCTTAGTGCGAACAGCATCATCAATTCGTACGGCTGGAGGCATTTGGACGGAGGACTGCGTTTTAATTTGTCCCAGGTTGCATCAGCGTTTCCTTGTTTAGACGGCCCAACGGTCGGCGGTGATCAAGTCAGCCTCATCACAATTCCCGCGGGCACCGGGGGTGATTGACGAATGGGCGTTATTCGCAAAGGCAGCGAGGCAAACTCCAACTGCCGGCGGAGCTGACATAATCCAGGCCTAGACCTCGCTCAAAAGAACGCGACGTAACGTGGGCAGTTATCGCCGAAGCCTTAGAATGAGTCTTTCGGCCAGTATCAAAAACACCAGGAATCACCACGAGATATGCAAAAAGGGGCCCAACCGGGGTTTGAACCCGGGACCTCGCCCAATCAAGCTGTGCTTGAGAGTATTACTACCCGAAGGGCGAATCCTACCACTAGACCATTGGGCCTTGTTGAGTTGAAGTGAAGCACAAGTGCCTGTTGTAGGTTCAGTTTGGCTCCAGGCAGGCGCGAGGTGAGGAAGTTGCGACGCAAAGGGGAAGGAAGGCACGCCGTGTTAGAAGGAGAACAATAAGCATCGATTGGCCAGTTAGCACTGAATGCCTCCTCACCGCAGACACCTTGCACATGAACACCGCGGGGGTGGGATTTGAGGAACCAACAACAACACCATGCCGTTGGTTTTGAGTAACCCGAGCCGAGCACCGCCGGATCCAGCTTCCGATTCCGAACATTCACATCGACCAGCACCCGACAACAAGATGCTGCCGCCAAGCCTCAAAAGCGCGGAAACCCACGCGGACAGTTTACCGCAGAGCGACACGATACACCTTACCCACCGCCCCGTCCTGCACATCGAACCGTACATCCGTACAATCTCCAAGAACAAATAGGCCAAGCGGCCGGGCCCTGAACCAAATGGAAAGCCAACACATTCTACAGCCCCCACCACCGGCATTGGGATCTCCAAAAAGTTCAGTCCCGGCCCCACGCCCGAAAGCCAGGGGACGCCAAGTTCCAACCCGGCCCGCCCGCAGTCGTGCTGCAAAAACTTACGATAGAAGAACGGTGTTCCCCGCGATAACGAGTAAGGCAAGCCGATAAACCACGACACCGCAAATTTCGACTCCGATATTGCGCCGGTCCGGGGTGATCCCCTTCAACGTTCTCCTCTCCCAACCACCGCCTCTCCTTTCCCCGTCCCTCCTCCTCTCCCACCGTGCCCTTTTAAAGTTACGCAGCAAATCTCTCCCTTTTCCAATTCGTCTGGTGTTGCCAGTTTGACATTTTCGCAGAATCTTCCAATCGCGAACCGTGATCTACTTCCTACCTTGCGGTACCGTCCTGAGTCACACAATCGCAACCTATACAGAGGTACTTCGCGTCGCACGAACACACAGACACGCGACAATGGCAGACCCCGCCGAACCCCCCTCTTCGATTCTCATCATCGGCTCCGGCGTCTTCGGCCTGACGACAGCCCACGAACTCGCCCTCCGCCCCCGCTACGCCTCCACCAAGATCACCGTTCTCGACCGCTCCCCCGTCCCCGGTCCCAGTGAAGACGCCGCCAGCGTCGACTCTTCCCGCATCATTCGCTCAGACTACGCCGATCCCGCCTACGCTCGCCTCGCCGCCGAAGCTCAGACGGAATGGCGCAAGACCACAAACCCCTCAGACCTTGGAGGTGAAGGCCGGTATCGGCAATCCGGCTTGTGTCTCGTTGCCGATCCCAAGTCTGCTTCCCCCGTAGCTTCAACGACATCACCACCACCAAAAAAGACCAGTCTGGAATACGTTCGCGAAAGCTATAACAACGTTGTCTCGCTCGCAGGACCCGATGGCGATAAGATCATCAAGGAGCTTCCCACCCCCGAGGCAATCCGCGAACACCTTGGCACCCCGATCGCCCCTGGAACATGGGGCTACATCAACCCTTTGGCTGGCTGGGCTGACGCTGGCGAGTCAATGAAGTACCTCGCCCGCCGTGTCGAGGCCCTTCGCCGCGTAAACTTCGTCTCTGGCACCGCTGCCCGCTTGAATTACTCTTCTGCCTCCACCGTCACCGGCGCAACGCTTACCGATGGCCGTGTCCTTTCCGCCGACCTCGTCATTGTCGCCGCCGGTGCTTGGACGGGCCAGCTTGTCGATCTCTCAGGCCAGGCCATTGCGACCGGCCAAGTGCTCGGATACATTGACATCACCCCCTCCGAGCTCGAGATCCTCTCCAAGATGCCTGTGACTCTCAACTTCAGCACAGGACTCTTTATGATCCCTCCGTCAGGCCTGCAAGTCAAGGTCGCCCGCCACGCGTACGGCTACCTCAACCCGACACCGATCCCTCACCCATCGCCCTCTTCCTCCGCGAAGAAGAGCACCGTCTCCCTGCCCGCGACGCACATCACCGACCCCAACCTCCAGGTCCCGAGAGAGGGAGAGGATGCGCTGCGCACCGCCGTCCGCACCATCGTCCCGATCCCCGCGATCCACGACCGCCCGTTCGTTAAGACGCGGCTGTGTTGGTACACCGATACCCAGACGGGCGACTTCTTGATCTGCCACCACCCCGAGGCGAAAAATCTGTTTGTCGCCACGGGCGGCAGCGGCCACGGCTTCAAGTTCCTGCCTGTGTTGGGCAGGGAGATTGTGAACGTGCTGGAGGGCAGAGGCGACAAGGTGTTTACTGAGAAGTGGAAGTGGAGGGCAATCAACAAGCCCGAAGACGTGACGCATCTGTATGACAACATTTCATGCGACGACGGCAGCCGTGGAGGCGTGCCTGGCATTTTGCTTAAGGGCGAACAGCCCAAGCTGTAGCGCTTTATGTTATCTAGCCGTGTTCATCAGTAACGAATGTAGACGACGTACACACGTAGACACGTAGAAGCAGGTATTGTACATAAACAAAAGTTTTCTTGTTTTACGGCGCGACTAGGGGCCAAAGTAAGTCGGCAAAATCTTCCGCATCACCCAGTTCATCACATCGACGAGATTGTGTTCATGAAATCAGGTTTAGCATTACACTCATACTAATGCCTGCTAAGCTCGCATCAAACCCTGAACTAAGCCAGAGTAAGAATGGAGTGATCAATCTGGCCACCCTGACCAGATGTCGCAAACCTGTTTTCGCAGTTCGTCACACGCCAAAGCACCTCCCGACCAACTGTCCAGGAGGCGACGAACGCATCCTTCCCCTCTCCCACCGTCTCGGACCCTCATGCATCTAAGTTGCTTCCATTAAAGAACGGCGAAGTCGACCTGCGCGTTGCCGTCGACCATGCCACGAGCAATCTATGTAGTGTCGCGGGATGAGAAAAATCTTATTCTTTTCGTCTGAATCAAACCACCCAGACCGGATGCCTCCAGTCCAGGATCCCTCCTGTGCCAACGCCAATGCAATGCAGCGGAAAATCAAGGGATAACACAAACGAGCATCGAGGCGTCTTAGGCATGGCCAAGATGCCAGCTGACGAACGCTCGCTTTTTTTTATGGTGTGCGTGAAAAAGCAGTCGTGGTATCGTGAAGAAAGGGTGGTGTCTAATCGTACAAGTCGGCAATGTTTTGGGGTGATGATACATCAACAGAGTTGATGACTCATCCTTTGCTTCGGTTTCCTTAGACTTTGCGGAAATCTGGAACGAGTTAGCAGCTGTACGAGACGAAGTGAAGCAGCAATACTGACCCTGAAGCACAGGATAGATCATCTCGAAGGCCTGGTAGATCTCCTCACGGACCTTGGCACCAGTGAGGACAATCTTCCCAGAGACGAAGATGAGGAGCACAATCTTCGGCTTAATCATGCGGTAGATGAGACCAGGGAACAGCTCGGGTTCGTAAGAACTGAAGTTGTGATGGCGAGAGGCGAGACCTTCGAGACGGATGGGGAACTTGATGTCGCAAGACCCGACAATGTTCTGAATCTTGAAGTCGGTGAACTTGGCATTGAAGCCAAGCTTCTGAATGATACGAGCGTACTTGCGGGAGGCAAGCTTCGAGTCGTCCTCAGACTTCGCACCAGTTACAACCATCTTACCAGAGGCGAAGATGAGGGCTGTGGTCTTAGGCTCGCGGATACGCATGATGACGGCGGCGAAACGCTACATGGCCAGTCAGCATCGGGAAACACCTAGCAGTAAGTTTCGCGACGTACCTTGGGGTTGTACTCGGCATTTCTCGCGTGCAGGGCAATCGTCTTCAGGTCCAAGCGGCAATCGAGGTTGACCGTGGCAACGATGTTCCTTTAAGCAGCGACATAAGCGTCATGGAGCAGAAAAAATCACTCATGATATACATACTGCAGCGTGGGAGTCAAGCCACTTCCACCCTGGGTGGCAGCAGGAGTCGCAGCAGGGGTCGCGGGAGTCACCCCGGTACCGTTTGCGCCTTGTTGCCCGTTGACGGCGGGGGCCTGGCCGTTGACGGGAGCTTGAGCGCCGTTCGCCGGGGGAGGGAGCTCGTGAGCGCCGCCAGGGAAAGACAGCGAGCCAGGCGCAGTGAAAGCCTTGGCTTGCGCGGCACTCGTGGGATGGGTCTGAATCGCCTCCATGATTGCGGTTGCTTGAGGGATACGCCGGAGATAGGGCAAAGAGCAGATCTGCGAAAGTCAGCACGCTGATCTAACCATTGTAGCAAGCACGCGCCATTACAGTTCGATGCTGTAATTATTTATCGCGGCCAAGAAAAGTAACAATGGCGAATGAAATGCGACTGCGATATGACTGGTGATGTTTTCGGGGGGATCGCGTAGGTGGCGGAAATATTTATAGAAATAGTGTAAATGGTCTGTGCGCTAGACTTCTGCGCCTTGATGACCTCCAGTGTCGGGGAAGGTGCGTGCCAAGATGAGGAAGGCGTGCAGGCAGGTGCGATGGGAATAACGACAAGTGAAGGAAATGGAACACCATACCAGAAGTGGGAGAAAAACAAGTGAATGTCTCCCCTACAGCGACTGCTCAAGACAGATAGATAGGTAGGTAGGTAGGTATGCGCTTGTCTCGACAACTTGGCGGTCAGGCAAATGGCGCGATGTGGGATCTCAAACTTGAGGTAGGTCGACGAGAAGGTCGTTGGTTTCGTAGGCGTCGCTTTGGATTTGTCGCGAAAGACCCAGATACCACCAATCAACTCGACGTCTCGGGATACCTCGTCACGGTTCACAGCACTTGTATCTCTATTCGTCGACGATGCGATGCGCACGGATTGTGTCTACAGGGCGCAGCGACTCGTTCTCGACCTGGCTGTCGTCGGAAGGGATCGCGCGAGTAACGTAACGAAGGGATGCCTCGAAAAGAACGTATTCCAGATCTTTTCTTTCTTTCGTGCAGGGTAGGATATGCGGGTACACTTTCAGTTAAGAGAGCGATACCACCTGGGCCCTGGCTGACGTTGACAGCTCCGTCGTTAGTCTTGGAGTGTTTGGTAATGAGGTAGAGAGAGTATAGAGATCAGCCTCGTTGGGGGTCGAGGTGGTGACGTCTCTGTGTTTGTGTCGATCGACGTCGTCGTCGTTGATGACGGTGGTGAACGTGCGATGAGGCTGTGGTGACGATGACGACGATGCAGGATCGTGTGCGGTGTCTGTTGGTTGGATTTTGAGTTTGGGGGTGGTTTGAGTGGGGGTGGAGAAGGAAAATTAGAAAGGCCGAACGTGAGTGGGTGTGACTACGTAAGGCCGTCGGTCGGAGCTTCCGCGCAAGAATTTCGAAACAAGCGGGTTGGAGGGAGGCCTGCCTCTTTATAATTTTGGCCATCGCCCGCCTGAGCAGTCGCCCCAACGACACCCCCTGCCACACAGCCAAGGGGCCCCAGGCAGCCAGTGCGCCGTGGCGGTTGGTCCTGCTTGACATTGCCTGTGCTTAGCGGCCGCGCTAAGGCGATGCACCCAATCAAAACCGCGGATTCCTCACATTTTATCTCCTTCCCACCCCCATGTCCCCCCTGTTGTGACCACCCAGCCCCTGAAGTACCGCGGCACCGCGTCCAAGGTCGCAGTACTTTCGCAGGTCTTTTCTTTCTTTTTGCGACAATGCATTCTGGCCAGTGCTTACCTACCTCTGACGGCTGGCTGGCGAGGTGGTGACGATGCTGTGCCCTAATTGTGATGCCGCTGTCGGGCGCCGCTCGCTGCCCACTGCCAGGCCTGCCAGCGCCAGCTCAGGGCCACAGTGTCGTGTTCCAGTGAGAGGCCCTCCCTGATATGGGGCCATGTCATCATCCACAGTTGCTGTCCAGTCCCAGACCCAGCCTTTTTCCTGCCCTGGAGCTTGCCTTGCGCTCGCCGCATTTTCTTGCTTCCTCTTTTTCCCTTTTTTTTTTTTTTTTTTTTTCCCCCCCCCCCCTTCCCCTTTTTTTCCNCACTTTTTTCGCGACTCAACTCGGATCGGTTTGACTGGCTCATCCCTGGGAGGCCCATCGGTCATCCCTCTCGCTCGCCATTTCGTCAGGGTTGGCCGTCCACACACACTCCTTGATTCCCGCTGAGAAAAAATGGCAACACGTCTTTTTCTTCCTCGCCTACACTCCGGACCAGACCGCCTGGACCATGACGGATGCTTTGCCTCTTTTTTCAGCCAGCGACGACGATGCAACATCTCGTATTTCTTTCACTACCGTTACTCGCTCGCCACGACAATGGCCCAGCAAACGAAACGACGCGTCTGGTCAGCATCATCTCCGACACCATCGCGACACCAACGCAAACCGCCCGAGAATGACGACGGCCTGGCATAGCCCAGAGGTAACATACAAATCAAAACCAGACGGCATGGCAATAGCGCCCGCGCACCAAGTACGAATGCTCTCGTTCACTCGCTCGCACCCACCCGCACCCGCACCCGCACCCGCACCGCGACAGCTCTCAGCCCAACCCAAACCAACCAGACGCCCTCTTCCTGGCCTGCCAATGCCGCCGACGACAGCCCGTGGGCCACTACTGCCTGGATGGAAACCAGCCAAATGCGAATCCCACAGCAGCGCTACCTACCACGCTATCCGACTGGATGCCGCTACCTGACCGCTAACGCTACCTACCCACGACCTGCCGACCCCATTCCGCTCGGTTCTTCTTCCTTCTGCGGCCTACCGCCAAATTGCTTCGTGCGTCCAGCTCCAACAGCTCCAGCTGGAGCGCTCCCACGGCCAAATCCCACTGTCCGCGTCAGTCAGTCCCTTTTGGCAGCTGCACCACACCCACCACTCCAACCACTCGGTCGCAGGTCTGGACTGTCATTGACTGGGCCCCCTTCACCATCACTTTCTCCCCCCCTCCCCCCTTTTTTATGATTTTTGCATCCTCCCAGCAACCAAAGGGACTTTTCCCTTTTCCAACCCTCCTCCTTCACTCTCCAACCACACGCTAGCGCTCTGAAACGCTGAGCCTGCCCCCTACTTTGATGCCTCACTGACGATCAGCACCGACATGTTCCGTCAGTGCTGAGCAGCGGCAGCACACGAGAAAGCATCGCCATCACCCATTCTCTGGCGAACGGCCTCGCCGTCAAACCTGTCAGAAGAGCCAGTCACCAGACCAAGCCCGGACGCGACAACACGACGACGCGAAACAGCAAACAGTCATAGACCACCGCCACGGCCACGATGACAAACGAACATTGAAGCGAAGCGCGGTCAGGAATGCGCGAAAACGGCACCTTGACGCTTGCGCTGCTTTCGGCCACCCGCGGTCCCTCTGCTAGGAATTTCATGGGTCACGGCAGCAAACAGACGGCTTCCGACGTGTGAGTCATTGACTCCAGACCGGCTCCAATCGGCCACCACCAGCCATGGCAGGGGTACGTGAAAAAAGCATTGCAAAGGCCGGGTTGGGCGTGTTTGTCGCCCGCCTCCCACTCATGGCAGCGCCAACCAAGGGCTCCATCCCCCCGTCGTAAGACTGCCCCGTACTGTGTACGCGAGCCTCGCCACGCCGCGGCCCATCACGGCCCATCTCTGGAACCCGAACTTTCGCCCGAGAAAACTCTGTCGACACCCATCAGGACACTCAGACTTCCTTAAATGCGCGGTAAGTCCGATGTGGACGAGGAGACGTTGGGCATTTGTCGACATCGTATCGACGTCTGTTTTCTTTTGCACAACCGCTTCCAATTTCGTGACGCTCTGGCGCTGCTTCATCGTCGTGGCAGAGATGGGCACTCGCAGCAGTCTTGCAGATGCAAATTTCACCGTAATCTTACTGCCAGGTATCATGTACCAGGGCTTGACGGAGACTATGGGGCCTCTGGTCTGTGCGTCCAAAGTACCTCTGGATCCGCTCCGAAGTCGAGGTACATCTCCAGGTTGTCGGCTTCGCCCTGCGCGACTCATGCATGTGTGAGCTTCTCCTAGACACACAGCAGCAAGGTAAGGCCAAGCCATACCGCCGCGCAACGAGAGTTCCAGCCTTTGGAGCATCTCGGCCTCGCGGGGGCTGGCGAAGCTCCATCAGCACTACTACGACTCATGCAACCTCAAACACCACCATCTGACAGCCTCGTTGAACAACTCTCACGACATTGCATCCAGTGTCGCATCAAAACGACCGTTTAAATTGTCGAACTTTGACTGCCGCTGTCCTTGGGCTTTGGGCAGCGGTCGATGGAGAACCGACGTGCCCAATGACGTCCCACGAGTCGCTCTCTGTTCCCACCGTTGGCTGGTAATGTGTACACACGCTGGCACGCAATGAGGCTTATCGCGAGCGCGTCATTCCGTGTCAGCTACTCTGACTCTCCCACAACCCGCAAATCTAGCCATCTGTCCATTCCAGCCTTGCCCACCGCATGAAGTCCAAAAACTACTTGCGTCTCGCAAACCACCCCTCATGTCTCCGATTTCGTCCCCATCCCCCCAAGCCGGGGTCTTCTCCGATCGGGGGCCTTTCAAGCCATAAGCCGACAAGGGGACCTTCTTACTCGCTTGGATTCACAGCATGTCCATCATCACAAGCCAGACGACGTCGTGTGGTGCCATTTCTTAGTCGGGTCTCCCTTGACTTTCGCGCTCTTCCAGAAGCCTTCGTCATGCACCGGCAGAGTTCCTCGTCTGATATGCCCGACTCGAAGAAAGAACCGGGGGAAAAAACCATGTTGTCATTAACCACCGTTCGACGTAAGGGTACCGCTACATTATCCGTACACCATCCTACCACAAAGGTAAGCCAAAGTAAACAGCAAGCCAACATGTGAGCGCCCAATGAAAGAGAGAGAAAAAAAGCTATTTTTTGCTTTCCGCGCCGCCTTCCCAACACGTGCTCTACTCCGAAGTACATGGATATGGTCATCGGGCCTCCGAATGTTCGAAGCATTTTCCCTTCCTTTTCTTTTTGTCTTCTCTACTTTGTCTGAACAAGTACAGCCACTCACCCCATTTAGGCAACACAAGAAGAGATGACAGCCCTAGGTTTCTATTTCCTCCGCCTCGTCGTCGTCTCGAAATCCTCCTCTTTCTATGACATGTAGTACTTGGGACCCTCTCCTCCCTGGGGAACCTGCCAGTTGATGTCCTGGTTGGGCGCCTTAATGTCGCACGTCTTGCAGTGGATGCAGCTACGAA